CGAGTAAATGGGTTGATTTGTCAGTTATTTGTAGTCTGAATTCGGCTTAGTACGGACTGAGTTGTCTTTTCCTGTTAATAGCTCTCAGATTTAAGAAATCAATAAAGGTATTCAGACGTCATTTCGCCCGCTTTACCACTTCGCCCCAGGGTCTCTTGAAAAAAAATAATAAAACTTGCCAATCTTGCAATCATTTACGATTGCAAACATTTGGAGTTGTTCAAACTACCTCCGCCTTTGATGAAAACTGTCTAAATATCGTCTTAGAGTCGTGTCAAGACAAATTTATTTACCAGGGACGAAATGACACGGAGGCGGTTTGGCCTGTAATAAAATTACATTGTATGACAATCGAGACTTGATCGTCTATTTAGCTTTGATAGTGTGACAATCAAGACTAGTATCTACTTTCGTTTTTCAACAAACATGGCGGACACGGTCTTGAAATTCATTGTTTACATTCATTAAATTGTGAAAATAAGCCAATTAAAGTCTATTCTGCATAATTCTTTGTGCTGATTTTTGAGGGGATACTTCGAGGCGTGTCTCTATGGCTTCAGTACGAGATGCCAGTGCCTTGGGTGGTTTCAATGAGACTAAATGTGAGGAAGTTCTCACCACTCTATACCGCAATCCAACCCGGTGCAGAGATGTGATGTCAAAACTAACTGCACTCAACCCTTCTTCTCCCACTCTGGTGTCTCTCCGTGCACTGAAATATTTACCAAGCTACAAAACTGCAGCCAGAGAGACAACATCCCTTAAGAAAAGACAAAGGAAAAAGAGGTCAAATGCTGATCTCAAGCCATAGTCTGAAGATCTTAGTTAGACGGAAGGAAGGAAGGAAGGAAGGAATAGAACAGTGGCAGATATCTGTAGAAAGACCCATCTGGCCATGCTCTGCACATCTCACACTTCACAAAAACAAGGTTACTATAAAGAGATCCAAACTGAAAGGAAAATACACTAAAGACTAAACAAACCAGCCTGCATTAAGGAAACCATCTTTATTTTTTTGAGCAATTTAAGTTTACTATAGATAAAAAATTAAATTCGTTTCTATTTTTTTTTTCCCCCAGTCCAATTCTACAATTGAACAGCTGGTAGACCTGTTTTCCAAACAACCTTACACTCGCTGAAGTTCTGATGAAAGTAGTATAAAAGTAAAATAGCTCCCACTTGCTTACAAATAAATATATTTGTATAATATTTGAACAGGATATTCCAGATACATTGCAATCCAAATTCAAACAATAAAATAATTTTAAGGTCGAAAGCAAAAGTAGAAAAAAATTTATTTCTGTAGTGTTTTATTTGGTACGAATTTACCTCAAACTATTTTTATTTATATTTGTTATGCCCATATTTGGACTAAGTTTTGATCCAAATTAAGATTTTAATGTTTGAAATTGTATTTTCTTTCAGGGTTTTGGAAAATATGAATAGCCTGTAATATCTAAATTTTTAATTTATTTGCCAATTATTTAAAAAGATTTCAGGAAAA